AGAGAGAGAGGGAGAGGGGGAGAGGGGGAGAGGGGAAAGGGAAAAGGAGAGGGAGGGAGAGAGGGAGAGAGGGAGGGAGGGAGAGAGAGAGGGAGGGAGAAAGAGAGAGGGAGGGAAGAAGAGGGAGAGGGGGAGAAAGGGAGGGAGGGAGGGAGGGATCAAATATTGAAGAGTCTGAAGGAAGCAATCCTAGGGCCAGACCACAAAATATGAAGATTTAAAAGACAGGCCAGTAAAGAAAGCAAACTTCATGATGCAAGAGATTTCCCAGAGACCATTCCATAAATATTCAGCCTGGAGTAGCTGCAGCAGGCAGAATGCATAAGGCCCTGCATCAATCTCAGGCACCAAATAAAAGTGACATGGTGGCATGTGTCTGTAATCCCAGCACTCAGGAGCACAGGCAAATCGGGAGTTTAAGGACAACCTTGGCTACCTACCTACAGAGTTCAAGGCCTGCTTCAGAAATGAAATCTTATCTCCAAACTGGAAAACACTATACTGTACTTACCTCTGAAGAATGCAAAAAACAAACAAACAAAACAAAAACAAAAACAAAAAAACCTGCCATGGCATACTAGTAAAGAACCACTGGTATATAAAAGGAACCACTGGTACATAAAAGGCATCAGGAAGATCCACAAAAGAAATGCTGCTTAACTTTCTTTTTCTCAGAACTTCCTATAGACTATGCCATTTCAAATGCCATAAAATACTATGTGAGGATACAGTACTGCTGTTGCTAGGCAACTAAATGAAATGGTTCAGAGAAACTGGGGAACAGGAAGAAAATAAGAACAAAGTAAGGCCAATCATAGTGAGTTTCATGTCTCATGCAAAGATTTTGAAGAAAATGAAAAACTACATTTCCAGGAGGGGAGTTATCTGTTTGTATAGATCCCAATAGAATGTGTTTTGGATTATGAACTTTTCATTACTGCTCTTCTGCATTTCAACAGTCTCACACTGATACACCTGGGATGCTCCTGTATTGGTTCTGCACAAGGCAAGGGAGAATCCTGGGACCATTCTTGCTCTTTTTACCCCTATATTCATCATCATGTCTGTTAAGTAACAGATACTCTGTAGCACTCTGTAGACAAATGAGAAGTAGAAATGGTGGATAGCCCTGGTGACATAACACTGATACTTGGTAATCTAAAACAATATTACCAGACTACTTTTGTGGGTTTTTTTGGGGGGAGGGGGTATTTTTTTCAAGACAGGGTTTCTCTGAATAGTCTTGATTGTCCTAAAACTTGCTGTATATACTAGGTAGGCCTCGAACTCAGTTCTGCCTGCCTCTGCCTCTCAAGTGCTAGGATTAAAGTTGTGAGCAATCACTGCCCAGCTATCAGTCTACTTTCACTCCTACAATTTTCCATGAACATTTTTTTTTAAAGTTGGGGTTTCACTAAGTTGCCAAGGGTAGTACTGAACTTGTAAGCTCAAATAATCTTCCTACCTTTGCCTCCAAATAGCCAAAGATACATGAACTGTATCTGGCACTGCACCTGGATCAATGTTTCTTCAATAAATAGTGCTACGTAACAGCGGAATGGTTACAGGCACAACCTCCAAACAACAGGGTATTTATAGAACCTTAAGAGCAGAAATGTAGCACTTGATTGGAGGGACTGTGAATCATCACAACACAGAGCAGCAACTGCCTATTCTGATGAGAACTTGTATACTCCAAGACCAGCAAACAGACTACTACCAACAAAAGCCAAAACCTGAAAGTCACCCATTTTTAAGAGAGAAGGTGTAGCTGGAAACTCTCAAACCAACCAAAACCAAAACCAATAAATGAATTAGCAATAAATGGAAGCTTATGCAAATGTGATTCAAAGGGGCCACACTCCATCCCAAGCAGACACCAGAACTTGGCAGTGTTGTTCATGTGGTTCTGCCTTTAGAGTCATGAAGGATAAGGAATGAAGGGACTATGGAATCATCCTCTGTTGTTACAGAGAGCTGCTGAGGCCAGGCATGTGGCAGGGGATTCCCTTCCTTGAGTACTAACTAGAAAGACCACTTTGAGAAAGCGTGAAAGCAAAAGCTGGATTGCACTGGACAGCCCCATATATTGGAGATGCTAGAGCCATGAGATAGCTACCAAGGATAGCTACAGACAAAGAATGAAACAGCCCAGAAGAAAAGCTAAAAGGACGGAGCCATCTAAAAAACCTTTTGACATCAGACATACAACTACAGGATTCAGAGTTTGCCCTGCTGGGTTTTGGTCTTGCTTTGGTTCAGTATTTCCTCACTATGCCCCTTTTCCTCCTTCTTGGAACATTAATAAATACTCTGTATCAATGTACATTAGAAATATATTGTAACACAAAAAACAAAAGACCCAGAGACTGATATTGTGGTTCAAGCTTTAAGTTGAAGACCATAGAAGAAAAGCAGCCAAGCCAGTAGATCTTACCTCTACCAAGCTAAAGGGAATCCTGTCTCCATGAATCCTCAGAGGCAAAAGCTCTCAGTTCCTGTCTCCTCCTGCCTTTTATTCCTTTCTCCGCCCAGCCATATCACTCCTGTCTCCAGCTTCCTAGTCCTGGGATTAAAGATGTGTGGTCCCAAGTGCTGAGATCACCTATGTGTGAGCTATTTCCTTCAGGACTGGATCAATCTTGTATAGTCAGTGTGGCCTTGAACTAACAGAGTCTACCTCTTATTCCTGAGTTCTGGGATTAAGGTGAGTGCCACCACTGCCTAGATAGCTAGTATGGCTGCTTGGATTAAAGGTGTATATCTCTACTGCCTGACTTCTATAGCTTGTGGCTGGCTTTGCTTTCTGAATCTTTGGGCAAGTTTTAATAAATCATAAATAATATATCACCACAGTACATAATTTGCTTTCTGATTTCACAGGTTACAGTTAAGAGGCTGCCTTGAGTCTCACAAGCCTTTGGACTTTGAAACAGTGTTGAGACTGTGAAAGACTAAGAAGACTTTTCAAGTTTGACTGAATGTATTTTGCATTATGATATGGCTACAAGCCAATGGGGTACAGGGAGTGGCATGTGGCAGTTTGAATGAGAATGACCCCTACAGGCTTATGTATTTAATTGGTCCCCATTTGCTGGTACTATCTCTAAAGCACTATGTGGTGTGGCCTTTTTGGACAAGGTGTGTCACTGGGGGCAGACTTTCAAAACACTCATGCCATTTTCGGTTAGCTCCCTCTGTGGTTGTGTCTCTAGATGTAAGCTCTCTGCTCCTGCTAGCCTGGTTCCACACTGCCCACTGTGTTGGTCAAGGACTCTAACCCTCTGAAATGGTAAACCCCAAATTAAACTCTCTTTTATTATATAGAGGAAAGTTACAACAAACATGCGCATCCATCATGATTCTAGCAATATAAAACACAAAGTAGCAAAAAGCAAATTACAAAGCTAAAATTAATCTATATTAGCATCTCAAAACAGTGAAAACTTATGAAAGTCTAAATCCACACTGTTGCTGCATTTGAATTACTTTACTCCAAAATAGCTAGAAGTGAAATGAAACAACCATTAAAAGCCATATGGATCCTGGGGCTGGAGAGATGGCTCCACAAATAAAAGCACTTGTTCTTGCAGAGTGCCTAGATTTGGTTCAGAGCACTGATATGGTAACTCACAACCATCTGTAATTCTAGTTCTGTGGCTCTTAACCTTCTCTTGGAACCACCTCAGCTACCAGGCCCATATGTGGTGCATGTACATAAATGCAGGCAAAACGCTCATACACATAAAATAAATCTTAAAAAATTTCTAAAGCTAGCCAGGAAGTGGTGCTACATGCCTTAATTACAGCACTCGGAAGGAAGAAGCAGATAGATCTCTGTGAGTTCAAGCCACCATGGTATACAAATTGAGTTCCAGAACGGGCTCCAAAGCTACACAGAGAAACCTTGTCTCAAAACAAAACAAAACAAATTCTATCTTGATGATAGGCAACATTCCGATAGAAGCACCAAGTCTTTTCTTGGTATTTTTTATGCAAAATATCATAAAATTCTTAGAGTGTTTGATACAGTTTACCATACAGAAAGAGAACTCAAGCAGATTATCTGGAATCATTTGTAAGCTTAAAAATAAAATTCCAGGGGCTGGAGAGATGGCTCAGCAGTTAAAAGCACTGATTATTCTTCCAGAGGACCAGGATTCAACTCTCAGCACCCACATGGCAGCTCACAACTGTCTGTAACTCCAGTTCCATAGGACCTGAAACTCATGGCAAAACACTAATGCATATAAAATAAAATTTTAAAAAAATAGAGCTGGAATGGAATATTAAAAAAAAACATTAAAAACAAAATTCTTTATAAACTTAGGATCAGAAGATACAACTTTGCCTACATAATCACATCTTTAACACTGGGGATATTAAACTAACCACTAACCACACTATTAAGACTTAAAACCTAAAATTTTAAAACTCAATTCAGTAAAACCTTCCTCTTTTGGAGGGTTTTGACCTCACTTTGCAACTGAAAATGACACTGAACTCTTGATCCTCCTTTCTTTGCAGTGCTGGGACTGACACATCTGGTCAGTAAACAAACTTAAGTCAAAATATTATTAGAGCTGGGAATTATTAGCTCAGTGATTTAGATCACTTGCTGCTCTTACAGAGGATCTAGGTTTGATTCTCAGCACCCACATGGGGTTCGTAATTGACTTTACGAGTCAATCAAATGCCCTCTTTTGGCCTCTGCATGCACCAGGCATTCACATGATACACAAATACATATATAGATGAAACATTCATGCACAGAAAATAATCTTTAAACTCCAATATTATACATAATTTATAGGAAAGAGATAAAGCAAGTATTACCTTTACAACCTTGCTCTGAGGATTCTTGAGAGAGTGCCTGGTCTTGAACACTTCCTAAGGAGTCAGAACCTGGACTAGGAGAGGCATGTTCACCTCCTGATGGGACAAATGAGATAGGTAAATAACAACGATGAGTAACCCCAAGCTCTAGTCTTGTGGGTTAATCTTCTTTGAATGCATTTATGACTTAGTTTTCTATTTCCTGTGTCTGCACTGACACAGCGGATACTGAGCACTTACCCCCACACTTTAGATCTCCCTGTTCTTCCTTGGCATTTTTCCACTGAACCCAGTTCTTCCAGGCATTTACCCCATACATATATTTTAGTGTCATTCCAGACACTGAACACCCTTGCAAAGCTCCTTGAATAAGACTCCTGGGCTCCACAGGTACTACAGACTTCTTCCTCCCCTGTAAAAATTCCAAAAATTGACAAAATATAAAACTTAATCTTGGAATTTTAAGAATCTGAATTCTCAGAGCTGCAAAAGGAATAAGCCTAATGAATAAAGAATTTATTTTTATATCCTAAAGATGCAGAATTTAGAGCTGAAAGACTTTAAAAATTATCACAGTTTCAGGCACAGTGATGCACACCTGTTATAGCATTTGGGAAGTGGAGGCAAGAGGATCAGGAGACGTAGAGGTCATTCTCAGCTCCACAGAAAGTTCCAGGCCAGCCTGGACTATATGAGATCTTTTTTCAAAACACCAAGAAATCATCTAATCCAATTCATATGAAGAAGAAATTACTACAGTAATTACCAATATTTAGGTAACTGGGGTATAGACATTACCACAGGTTGTAGTATAAGCTCACTTGAATAGATCATATTCTAAACTGTAAAACAGGTCTCAGCAAATTCTTTGCACAAGAATTAGATTTAAAGCCAATAAAGGAAAAATGTCGAATCATAAATTAATAGTACACCTATAAATATTGCATGTATCAAAGAAGAAATTATGCTATAATATATAATTAAATAACATAAAAAGTTAAAATTTACATAGAATACTGTTATACCAATAAATTTGGTAACTTACAATTTAAAAAAATATTCTTAACCAAATATGGTGATGTATAGCATAGTACCATACTGAGTTAGAAGAATCTCAAGTTGACAGTATACATAGTCTACAGAGTGAATTCAATGGTAGCATGGGCAACTAAGTGACACTCTGCTATAAAACAAAGAAAATTAAAAGGGCTGTGTGTATAATCCAATGGTAATTAACATGCATGCCCTGGGTTCAATTCCCAGAAAATAAATAAATATTCCAACGGCATCATCAGGTTTATAATTTATAAGACCTTCTCACAAGGCTAGGTGTGGTGGCACATGTTCCAACAATTGAGGAGGCAGAGGAAAGAGATAACTTGAAAATCATAAAAAATAAAACCCACTGTTATACTTAACCCAAAAGTATTTAAAAAGAATACATTAGGAAAAAAGTAAGTCAATTAAACAAAATCAATGCATTTTTCCAGTTTGACAGACCACAAAACAAAACAACAAAAACCAGATACTGTATCACTAGAAATAAAAAAATTTGGGCTGGAAAGATGGCTCAACGGTTAAGAGCACTAACTGATTCTCCAGAGGACCTGATTCATTTCCCAGCACCCACATGGCAGCTAACAACTGTATGTACCTCCAAGATCTGACACCCTCACACAGACATATACAAAGGCAAAACACCAAAACAGTCTGTTAAAGACTGGAGTTCCTGCTGATCACCAGTGCTTATCTGTAGGTCAGACAGGCTCCTTGTGGTCTACATGCAAGGCTGGCCTTAGAAACTCCTGATCCATAGCTCACGGCTGCAGGTGCAAGGATTGTCTGCTGTGTGGGTGCACGATTGTCAGACTTCAAGACAGTCATTGATTGGTGTGGACGTGCCTCCAGGGAGTGGCAAGCATCTGCAAAATAGCTGCCTGCTTGCCTGCTGGGCCCTGGTACAGACCAGGCAGAGGGGACAGTAAGGTGCATGGCAAAAGTGCTTGACTCCTGACAAGAGAATACCCCAGAAAATGGCCACTTCATAGACAAGCCTGTCCATTATTCAAAAAATAGCCCTGGTACTTGGAATCCCAGCAAGTGCAGCAATTGCCTACATCCTTTACCACCGATACAGGGAAAGCAGAGAAGAACGAATGACATTTGTTGGACAAGATGATATTGAGCTAATGATGCCAATTCACCAGGAGGCTGTGAAGCTGATCATTGGTGGACAAGGAGCATTAATGTAAAGGTCTCATGGGGAGGGGAGTGCTACCTCTCACCCTCCATTGCTGAGGTTACTGAAGATAAGGTTTATGAAACAGTCCTTCAGTATTTCTTTATGAACTTTAGTTTAATACAAGTAGAAGAAATGGAGAGTCATCTTAGGAAATGTAAAATTTCTTGTATGTGTCAGTATATGCACATCTAAAGAAATAAAAAAAAAATGTACTTCTGAAAAAAAAGAAAAAAAAAACAAAGGCAAAACACCAATGTACATAATACAAGAATGAATAAATTATTTAAAAATTAAAAATAAAAAATTCACTTGATAAAAGCCTCTATCTAACCAGAGTCAAAATTTGCAGAAAAATCAAAAGAAAACCTGCAAGAAACAATAAATACAATTTTGCAGGGCTGAGATTGTGAACAAACCAAAGGTTTCTCTACTACTACCCAGTCATGCAGAAAGATTTGTGAGTTCAATACAGGAAGAAATGAAAGCAAAGGCTTTCAGATAAGGAAGAAAAAGCTAAACTGCCTTTATTCACAAACAGATTCTAACTAAAGGTAGAAAATTCCAAGAAATTTAGTGGAATTAAGCTTTAGGAAAATAAGGTGATTATACAAAAACCATACAGATTTCTGTTAAGTTAAAAGTAAAGATTTAAAATATTAAGATTTATTAAAATATAGTGTGGTAGCAAACTGGGTAAGCCCAACATTTAGAAGACTCAGTTAGAAGGATTGTCACAAGTTTGAGGCCAGCTAGGCTACTGAATACGACTTTATCTTAGTAAATAGCCTGGGCTATAGAGTAAGATCCTATTCCAACAATTAATTAATACAATTAACATAAATACAACCAATATAATTGTAATAATAATGAATGAGTATGTAATCCTATTAATTAATGACTTTTAATAGAATCAAGAATTTTAAATACTCATGAAAAAAATCTAACAAAACATAAACAGACATAAAACTGAAAGAAAAACAACACTACACCTGTGACTTCAAGACTCACTGAAAAGTTACAATTTAAAAAAATGGTTCTGGGGGTTGAAGAAATGGTTTAGGGATTGAGAACAAGTACTACTCTTGCAGAGGACCCAAATTTAGGCTCCAATACCCATATCAGGCAGCTCACAACCACCTGCAACTCTACTTGCAGAGGGATTTGGTATCTCTAGCCTCCTAGGAAAATTAGACTCAATTGCATATACATAGACAAACATAATTTTAAAAACTAAAAATCTTAAAAAAAAAAAGGGGGGGGGAGGAACCTGGTTTCATCAGTAGGAATTACACATGCAAGCATAAACAACAGAATACAAGAGATGGAAGTGAGAATCCCAGGCACTGAAGATACGATAGAGGACATACATTCATCGATCAAAGAAAATGTTAAATCCAACAAATTCTTAACACAAAATATCCAGGCAACCTGGAACACAATGAAAAAACCTAACCTAAGAATAATAGGGATAGAAGGAGAAGAATACCAGCTCAAAGGCACAGAAAATACATTCAACAAAATCATAGAAGAAATCTTTCCCAACCTAAAAAAAGGACATGCCTATGAAAGCATATGAAGCTTACAGAACACCAAATAGACTGAACCCCCCCCCAAAAAGGCCACTTGCCACAAAAAAGTCAAAATATACAGAATAAAGAAAGAATATTAAGAACTGCAAAGGAAAAAAAGTCATGTAACATATAAAAGGAGACATAGCAGCATTACATCTGACTTCCCAAAAGAAACAATGAAAGCCAGAAGGTCCTCAACAGGTGTTATGCAGACACTAAGAGACCACAGGTACCAGCCCAGACTACTATGCCCAGCAAAGCTTTCAACCACCATACATGGAGAATACAAGATATTCCATAACAAAACCAGGCTTAAACAATATCTATCCACAAATCCAGCCCTATAGAAAGCATCAGAAGAAAAACTTCAACCCATGGACGTTAGCTACACTCACAAAAACATAAACAATAGATATTTCCACACCAGCAATCCAAAAGAAGGGAAAAACACACATACCACCACAAACAACAACAACAAAAAATAACAGGGACTAGCAACCATTGGTCATTAATATCCCTTATTATCAATGGACTCAGTCTGCCTATAAAAAGACGCAGGCTAACAGATTGGATACGAAAACAGAATCCATCATGACAGGAAAAAAAATCCATCAGGATGAAGTCTCAATTCTGAACATCAATGCCCCAAATACTAGGCAGGCAGATCCCTGTGAGTTCGAGGCCAGCTTGGACTACAAATTGAGTTCCAGGACAGGCTCCAAAGCTGAAAAATCCTTTCTCAAAAAAGAAAAAAAGAAGAAAAAGAAAAGAAACATTACTAAAGCTTAAATCATGTATCAAGCCCCACGAGTGGGAGTCTTCAACACCCCACTCTCACCACTGGACAAGTCTGCCAGACAAAAGCTTAACAGAGAAATAAAGGAACTAACAGTTGCTATGACTCAAAGGGGCTTAACAGACATCTATAGAACACATCACCTAAACGCAAAAGAACAAACCTTCTCAGCACCTCATGGATCCTTCTCTAATATCGACCACATAGTCAACCTCAACAGATACAAACAAAATTGGAATAACCTCCTGTATCTTATCAGAGCATCATAGCTTAAAGTTATAATTCAACAATAACACTAAATGCACAAAGCCCACAAACTCATGGAAACTGAATAATGTTCAACTGAATCACCACTGAGTCCAGGGAGAAATAAAGAAATTAAAGACTTCCTAAATTAAATGAAAATGACCACACAATATACCCAAACGTTTGGGACACAATGAAAGCAGTGCTAAGAGGAAAGTTCATAGCACTAAATGCCTACATAAACTGAGAAAAATCCCACACTAACAAATTAACAGAACATCTGCAAGTCCTAGAACAAAAAGAAACAAACTCATCTAGGAGGAGTAGAATGCAGGAAATAATCAAATTGAGAGCTGAAATCAACAAAATAGAAACAAAAAGAACAACACAAAGAATCAATGAGATAAAGAGTTGGTTCTTCAAGAAAATAGACAAGATAGACAAACCTTTATCTAAACTAACCAAAAAGCAGAGAGAAAGTATACAAATTAACAAAATCAGAAATGAAAAAGGGGACATAACAATAGACACTGAGGAAATCCAGAGAAACATAAGGTCATACTTCAAAAACCTGTATTCCACAAAACTAAAAAACTTAAAAGGGAATGGACAATTTTCTGGATAAGGGCCACATACCAAAATTAAATCAAGACCAGATAAACAAACTTAATAGATCTATAACCTCTAAGGAAATAGAAACAGTCATCAAAGGCTCCCAACCAAAAAAGCTCAGGGCCAGATGGTTTCAGCCCAGCTACCAGAATTTCAAAGAAGAGTTAAAACCAATACTCCTCAAATTGTTCCACACAATAGAAATAGAATATTGCCAAACTCTTTAGAAAGCTACAATTACCCTGATACCAAAACCACACAAAGACACAACTCAGAAAGAATTACAGAACAATTTCCTTCATGAACAAAGACACAAAAATATTCAATGAAATGCTAGCAAACTGAATTCAAAAACAATGAGAAAAATTATCCACCATGACCAAGTAGGCTTCATCCCAGGGATGCAGGGATGGTTCAACATACAAAGATCCATCAATGTAATCCACCATATAAGCAAACTGAAAGGAAAAAAAAACCACATGATTATATCATTAGATGCTGAAAAGCCTTCAACAAAATTCAACATCCCTTCATAATGAAGGGCTTGGAGAGAGCAAGGATACAAGAAACATACATAAACATAATAAAGGCAATATACAGCAAGCCAGCAGTCAACATCAAACTAAACAGAGAGAAACTCAAAGCAATACTACTGAAATCAGGAACAAGACAAGGCTGCCATATCTATTCAATATAGTACTTTAAGTTCTAGCTGTATGCAGTGCTTCTGTCTGTGTGCATGCCTGTATGCCAAAAGTGGGCATCAGATCTCATTACAGATGGTTACAAGGCGTCATGTGGTTGCTGGGAATTGAACCCAGGACCTCTGGAAGAACAGCCAGGACCCTTAACCTCTGAGCCATCTCCAGTCAGCAAACCTAGTTAATCTTATTTCTAAACACTATTCCTCAAGAAAAATAAAAGCGTATATTCATGTGAAGGTTTACACTAGAATAATACTAACAACTCTCTAGATAGCCCAAAATTTGCATAACTTGCTAGGCAGCTGCACAAATTTTGGTCTGTTTTTACGATGCACCCTATTTAGCAACAAAAGGAGTTAACCACTGAGACACAAAAGCAGTATGGATGAACCTCAAAGGCCCTCTGCTGTCATAAAAGCTAGACTAGGAAGATAATAATGTATGATACTACTTTTGTGAAATTTCAGTAACAGCAAAACTGCCATTTTGCATCAATCTACATAACAGATTGGTGGATATCAACATCAGAAGATGAGACTGATTAAAAAAGACTAAGAAATTCTTCATATAATTTAACTACTCATGAATAGCAGTTGTTACACAATGTGTTTGTCAAAGCTCACCAAACTATATTTAAAATTTATGAGGTTTTAAGTACAACTGAAACTCAGTTTCAAAACATAAGGCTACTCTTTTTACATGTAAGAGGCACAAGAGAGGGATGACTCAAAAAAAAACACTGTCCTCCAGACACAACAGGACTAATGCACATATGGACTCACAGAGACTGTATCAACAAATACAAGACCTGTACAGGTTCAAGGGAGATGGAGTCCCACTGTTAAGAGTAGAGGTGGACATGGGGAATAACCAAGAATCCATTCTACAATTGAATCCCTTGGGCAAAGGAAAAAATGGAGTCTCCCTGGAGTATATCAACCACACTTCAGAGTAGGCTGCATGCCAGGGGTAGTTGGCCAACACAAAACAACTGAATAGTATTTTTGTAGACCTTTTGTTTTCATTTTGCTTTCTTTGAACTTTTTTTGTCATTTGCATTTTCATTTTAATTTTTCTTTTTGTGTTTTTTTTGTGGTGGACGTTTCAGTTTGTTGTTTTTCTTTGTTTTAAAGAAAAAAAAGAATAAGAGCATGAAGTTGTGTGGGTAGGGAGGTAGGAGGATTCTATAAAAAATAGGAGGAGGGGAAAACATGGTCAAAGGATGCTTGTACACATTTTTTCTTTCATTTTATTTTTTATTTTTTTGTGACAGGATTTCTCTGTATAGACATAGCTGTCCTGGAACTCTCTGTGTAGACCAGGCTAGCTTATCACAAATGATAGGGGTTTTTTTTGGTTTTATTTTTATTTGGTGAAAACTTTTTGAATGAAAAAGTTTAAGACTACTGCATTTATTGTATGTGTGTTCAAAGTTGCTGTTAACTGGAAGGGGAGGAAGAAAGGATTGAACTCAGGCTAAGCAGTTAAGTACGTTTACTCACTGAGCCATCTCACTGGTCCCTTCTCTCTTTTATCTTTTGAGAAAACCATTTCAATGTGAAACACAACCTATATGAATTTAACTAGTGTATTTTATCACGTGAAAGTTAACTTTTTATCAGAACATATAAAATTTGTATAGTTTAAAAATAGGAAATTTTGAGGCAGGGTTTCTCTGTGCAGCTTTGGGGCCTATCCTGGCACACTCTCTGGAGTCCAGGCTGGCCTCGAACTCACAGAGATCCGCCTGCCTCTGCCTCCCGAGTGCTGGGATTAAAGGTGTGCGCCACCAACGCCCGGCTTCTGTTTGTTTTTCAAGACAGGGTTTTTCTGTGTAGCCCTGGCTATCCTGGAATGCTCTCTGCAGACCTTGAACTCAAAAGATCCTATTGCCTCTGTATCCTGAGTGCTGGGACTAAAATATTTAGGATTTTAAATTATTTTTAATGATATGTATGTATGGCTAAGTACAGGTCTGTGCAGGAGACCCTGGAATCCAGAAGAGTGTGTTGGGTCCTCTGGGGTTCCAGTTGTAGACAGCTGTCACAACATGGGTATTATAAGCAAATCCAGGTCCTCTGCAGGAACAGGAATTTTTAACTGCTGAGTTGTTTCTCCAGCCCCTGGATTATTATTCTAGCTTAAAATTATTTACTTTTTATTAAGTGTGTGCACCTGGGCTTGCACATGAATGTGGGCCTGGACATTGGATGGAATGTATGTGTTGTATGAGGTCAGAAGACAATTTAGAGTAGATAGATTTCTCCTTCCACTATGTGGGTCCCAGGGTTCACACTCGGGTTATTAAGGATGGTAATAAGCACCTTCATCTTCTACGAATACCTCACTGGCCCATTAAAAGATTATAAAAAGCTCTCCCTATTTATTTTTATTTTATGTGTATGGGTGTTTTGCCTGAATGTATGTCTATGAAACACATGTGTGTGATACCTGCACAGACCAGAAGAGGGCATGTGATCCCCTGGGACTGGAGTAACAAACAGTTGCACTGTCATGTAGAGGCTGACAATCAAATCTTAGTCTTCTGTAAGAGCAGCAAATACTCTCTAGGTGCCACAAAAAGCTTTTTATAAGTAATAAATCAAAACCCATAAATATGAAGACAAAAGAAAAAGTTCTGATTGAAAGAAATATGTAATAAATTATTTTTTTACACTAAGAAACAAAGGCACAAATACTTAGGTTTAAAAAACAATATATGAAAATGTTTGATTTGGGCTGCTATAAGGCTTTATAAACAGAAAGAACTAATGACTACCACTAAAACAAAGGAATACAAACTCTAAAAATTAAGCTTCTGCTTACTCTTCGTCTGGGCTGAGGGAAGCCATCTCTGTGTCTCCGTCTTGTTCGAGAACGTGCCTGGATTCCCTGTCCTTTATTAAGTGGGTCAAAGGATTCTACAACAACCAGCAGAAAGCACAATTGAGATATTTAGCATAGATTTAAAGGGAAACCAGAAAAAGATTTATTAATAAACAGTCTATCTTAGTTTGTGAAATATGAGTTACATACTTAAGAGAAACAAAGGGTTTAACACATAAATGAAAAGTTCACTATCAAAAAACCTTTTATAAATGGTTACTGTTAGGAAGATTTTGAAAAAATACAAAAAGGCAAATTAATCATGTATAATAACTTTGTAACAGAGATTCACATTTATAAAGGCAGTAAACTGTTGTGCCCTAGATAATCCCTAACATATCACAACTGCTTAATAATGCAAACTTGGCACTTTGCCAATATTCTGAACTAGATGACTACAGATGACCTTCAGTAGTCAGGTTAGCCTGCACAAACCTGATGGAAAATCTGCCTCCAGATCCTGTTCTGTTTCCCCTTTTGAGAACTGTTTCAGTTCTGAATCAGCTTCTTGCACAGCATTTGACTTTAAGGCATAATGATTCAACTCTTCCTCCCAGCTATGTGGAGTTGACACTGCCTCTGATTCAAGATCACCACTGTATGTACTTCCTTGGTCTGAAAGGGAAGAAAACAAACATGCTCTCTTGACATACTTAAAAACTCTCTTGAGCATCTAACTACTAAAAACTGAAATGTGGTTGATAATTACCTAGACACAACGAATAAAGTAACATGTAGCTGGAGAGACAACTCCATCACTAAAGTATCTGCTTTGTGTGAGTTTGATCCCCAGAACCGATGTTTAAGAAAAGAAAAAAAAGACAAGCATGATGGCATGATGGAATTCTACCACCTAGGAGGCAGAGACAGGAGAGTCTCTATGAATTGAAGGTCAGCCTGGTTCACAAAGTCAGTTTCAGGATAGCTAGGGCTAGCCAGCCCAGCCTACCTGGAGAGGTCAAGGCCAGTAAGAAAACACTGTCGTCTCCCCACTCCCCCATCCAAGTGGATGATGACCAAACAAAGACACCCAAAGATGCCTTCTAATCTCTGTGTACATTGGTGACATATATGCATGCAAAGCCACATTAACACACAGACACACAAAGAAAAAAGCATCTCATTTAACAGCTGCACAGAAGTGGATTCCTATTCTTGGCAAACACTACGATGCATCATCTCAATCTTTAAAACACTTGAGGTGTTTTTTATTATTTGTTTTACAAATTAACATGGCAGTCATTTGATGCGTCTTATGATTTAGGTAAAATTATAACATATGAAACCCAAGAATAATGTTTATAAGTTTCTATTGTTACCAGAGCATAGTATTTCTAAAAACTAAAATATATTCATAACTACAAACCTTTTTCAAATATCTATTAGTTTCTATTGTTAGAGCATAGTATTTCTAAAAACTAAAATATGTTTATAACTACAAACCTTTTTCAAAAATCTTGGTGTCTAGAAAGAGTTCTTGTTCAGAAGTTTGAGACTCTGAAGAAAAAAAAGCAAACAAAACACATTGCATCTCAGATGAAATGGCTTCTTGGTAAATATTACTCAAAACAGAAATTTCTAGGTAAATCAACTTCTATAGATAAGGCCTAATTCATCATATAATAAAATATTTGGGATTTTTTGTTGTTTTGTTTTGTTTCTTTTAAAGAACCACCACACCTTTAATGTGGCTCTGTTTTTCTTCCTTTTAAGATTTATTTATTTTATGTGTAAGTGCTCCGCATATACACCTGCAGGCCAGAAGAAGGCATCAGAACCTATTATAGATGGCTGTGAGCAACCATGTGGTGCTGGGAATTGAACTCAGGACCTCTGGAAGAGCAGACAGTGCTCTTAACTTCTGAGCCATCTCTCCAGCCCCTTAACGAATATTTGTAATAAAAGACCTTAAATCACCTGTGATTTTTTGGGGAGGGAGAGGATCAAGACAGTTTTTCTGTGTAACAGCCTTGGCTATCATGAAACTCACTTTGCTAGCCTTGAATTCACAACGATCCTCCTGCCTCTGCCTTCCAAGTGCTGGGATTAAAGGCATGCATCATTACCACCCAGCAGCTGTCAGCTAGGTTTACACTTCTAGATAGCAATGTGAGAGAGGCTATGGTGAAAGGGGACTGTACTTTTGATTGTGTATTCTTTTGCCATTTGAAATCCTTTTGCATAATTATACACTTGAATACACACACATGCAAAAATGACCTATTGTTCCACGTAAATATCTTTTATATCTGCCTCTAAAGGCCAACAAACTTAGCATAGAAATAATTGATACATGAGCATTAAGCACATATAACTGAGGCCAACACAATTCAATGAAAAGTGGCATATTTGAAATGAAGTTCAGAGATTAAACATAGAAAAGAATACCTTTCTCAGCTTATTCAGGAAAACATTTTGGCTTGTTTTGTTTTCTACTAAAATCAAAGAGAAATTATTCCCAAAACTTATTTCTACTTACTGTATTCCTTAAACATTTCATTTTACCCGAACTAAAGTGATTTGCAAGTATTTGTTTTTAAGCTAGCTTACGTTAACAACTTTTCTGTTTCAACGGTATACAGAAGCAAAAATACCCATCATAAGGCAAGAACACAAGGAAATAGCAATGTAATAGAGAAGTCACCTCCACCCCTTTTTGGAGACTAGTTTTTGCTATTATATAACTGAGAGTGGCTACATGAATTCTTAGAGCCTCACGCTCTCAAGTGTTAAAATGTGGTGACATTTTGTTTATGGTCTAACAAATAAAGCTTGTCTGTGGATCAGAGCGCAGAACTAGTCACACTAGTTAGCCATAGAGGCCAGGCAATGGTGGCTGACACCTTAAATCGCAACACTCAAGAGACCAAGATAGACAGATCTCTGTGAGTTCAAGACCAACTTTGGCCTAATGAAATTGACCCAGTCTAAAACAGAAACGGAGCTCACACAAAGGTGATCACATGCCTTTAATCCCAGCACTAAGAAGGTAAAGACAGGAGTGATATGACTGGCAGAGAAAGGAATATAAGGTAGGAGGAGACAAGAGATAGATGCAGTCTGAGGCAGCAGTCTGAGGAGCAGTCTGAGCAGCAGTTAGTCTGAGGCAGTCAATCCGAGGATGCAGTATGAGGACAGGATTGCCCCTTTGGTATGAGGTAGAGGTAAGAATTCTACTGGCTAGCTGCTTTGCTTTTCTGATCAGCTTTCACCACCTGATAGCTGACTCCGACTTATTATTATTAAGAACAATGAGAATTCATGCAACACAGCTGGGCAATGGTAGTGCACACCTTTATTCCCAGAACTTAGGAGACAGAGGCAGGCGGATCTCTATGAGTTCGAGGACAGCCTGGTCTACAGAGTGAGTTCCAGTACAGGCACCAATGCTACATAAGGAAACCCTGTATTGAAAAAACTAAAACAAAAACAAATTCATGTAACACTAGAGTAATCAATATGTGCTACCATGCCTGGGTTTTTAAAAAAGGCCAATTTAAAGTAAGGTTTATCAACATGAATGCCTTCAACTTTTAAATTAAATATAGTTTCAGAAGTTAAAAGTTATTCGAGCAAAGGGAAAATATTCTACTATTCTAAGACATTCTATATGCAAATGAGTCAGAATTATAAGATAAAACATTAAAGAAGGAAAACACAGGAAATACTGATGATAACAATAAACAAGCTTCCTCACTATTGACCTGAGTTCAGTTCCAAGCATCTACATTGGGCAGCTCACGGATGTCTATATCACCACCTTCAGGGAATCCTCTTAGCCTCCTCAGGTATTGCACTTATCTGCATCAACCCACACACAAGACATATATACATCCACATTCACACATAATTAAAATGAATACAAAGAGACAGGCGGTAGTAGGACACACCGTTAGTCCCAGTATTTCAGAGGCAGAGGCAGTCAGATCTCTGAGTTGGAGGCCAGCCTGGTCTACAGAGAGTTCCAGGACAACCAGGACTACACAGGAAAAACCTGTCTCAAACCTCCTCTCACCCTCTCCCCCCAACAAAAAAACAACAACAACAAACAAACAAACAAAAACCCACAAATCTTTAAAAGACCCAAACCTGCTGGTAACACAACAGGAAAATTTGCATTATTTCTGCATATGCGATAATGCTCAAATTTTTTTCTAGTATCTATAATGCCAAACCAAACCCACCAGCCAGCTGGACACAGTAGTCCACAATGGTGATAACAGCAGTCGGGGGTCAGGGGAATAAAAGGGTCAGCAGTTCAAGACCAGCTTGGACTACTTGAAACCGAGCTTCCAAAGAGAAACAAAAACCTCAAAGCCTCACTAGCTGTTAAAATCTACCAGTGAATAAAAGGAAACAAATGATATTTTGCTCAAAAACACACAAAGAACATTCTCAGTTCATTCATGACATATGAAAAAGCTTTTGCGCTTCACATTTCAACAATTGTATTTTCTCTACATCTCCCAGTAACCATAAATTAAGATGGTACAATCGAGGTTAGAAAGCTTTAAGCAATACTCCCTCACAGGCTGGTTCTGAAGACTAAATGCAGGAAAACACAATACACTAGGATGTTAATCTAGACTGTGAGAAGCACGCAAGATGAATGCACTCTATTATAGTCTATCATCCTTATTCCAAACTAACAGAATGAGGCTTCTCTATAAGGCAACTGAGCCAACAGGATTTCTGTTCTATACTTCAGTTTAGTAACATTAGCATGTTGTTGATTATAGATTAGGAATTATATGCTTGGAACATAGGTTTGAATATAAGAAAAAAACACAAAAATAATATGAAATTTAAATTACTTCTGATAAAAGTATACTGTAGAATTATAGATGAGCTTTACAAAAATCTTATTTTAAAGATTGCACCAACCTCCCTGGGATAGACTCTTCTCCTTCTCTTCATCTTCTGCAATCATTTCTGCCATCTCAAGGAGATCCGCTTCAAATGGATGTGTAGGAAGCTTCTCTTTAATGTCTTCAATACTCTCAGTGGCTTTATCTTCATTATCCATAGAGGAAGGAATAAGCATGGGAACAGGCATCTGAAAGAACAAGAACTTAAGGGTTCTTCTGCTCCATATGTGTGTGCCTTTGTGTCTGTGTGCCTCCAAAGGTTTCTTTTGTTCTGTGTGTGTGTGTGTGTGTGTGTGTGTGTGTGTGTGTGTGTGTGTGTGTGTGTGTGTGTGTGTGTGTGTGTGTGTGTGTGTGTGTGTGTGTCCAGCCAGAGGTCCACAACAGGTATCTTATCTTCTTCAATTGTTCACACTATCCTATTTTTATGAGACAAGGTCACCAGTGAACATAGAGATGGCACTCTGGATATTGGCTAGCCAACAAGCTCCAATTTTCCTTTTTTTTTTTTTTTGGGGGGGGGGTCTTAGTTTGGATTTTATTGCAGTGAAGAGACACTATGACCAAGCCAACACTTATATAGAAAGCACTTAATTGTGGTGGCTTGCTTACAGTTTCAGAGGTTCAGTCCATTATAATCATGACAGGGATCATGTCTGCATGCAAGCAATCATAGTGCTAGAGTTGAGACTGCTACATCTTGCAGACAATAAGAAGCCAACTGATGGTCACACTGAAGGAAGCTTGAACAAAACAGACCTCAAAGCCTGCCACCACAGTGACACATTTCCTCCAGCAAAGCCACAACTTCTAATAGTGCCACTCCCTTTGGGGGCCATTTTCTTTCAAAACCCCACATCCCATTCCCTGGCCCCCATATCACAATGCAAAAAAATGTAGTAAGCACAACTTCAAAAGTCTCTATAGTCTATAACAGTCTCAAACTTATTTCAAAGTCCAAAGTCTCTTCAGAGACACATGGCAATCCCTTAATTTCAATCCCCCTGTAAAAATCAAAAAGCAGATCACGTACTTCCAAGATATAATGACACAGGATATATATATTACTGTTCCAAAACACAGGGAAGGGAGCATAGTGAGGAAATACTAGACCAGAACAAGATCCCAAACCATCTGGGAAAATTACAAACTCTGTATCTTTATGTCTGATGTTCAAATGTCCTTCAGATCTCCAATTCCATTCAGCTTTGTTGACTGAAACACACTTGTTTCTCTGGAGCTGGTTCTACTCCCTGATAGCAGCTCTCCTCTGCAGATATCTCATGACGCTGGCATCTCAAACATGTTAGGTTCTCCAAGGCAATCCAGGCTTCAACTTCACAGCTTCACACAATGATCTCTCCACTAGGCCTCCATTCAGGGACACCCCTGACACATGCCTGGCCTCAGCAGCTGTCCTTAAGTGAGGAGGCAACTTCTATAACCCATTTCTTCTATCCTTAACTCTAAAGCCAGAACCAAAACTCAAAGCTGCCAAGTTCTGCTGCTTACTGGGGCTGGCGTATGGTCCCCTTGTTCAATTACACCTTCACCAGCTTTTGGTTTTCCTTTATTGCCTAAGCTTAGCTGTCCTTGAATTTGATCTTTGGATCAGGCTGGCCTCAAACTCAGAAATCCGTCAGCCTCGGCCTTCCAAAGTGCTGGGATTAAAGGCATGCCCCACCATACCCTGTTCTAAACTTTAATTCCTTTCCCCAAATTGGAAATTTAGCTTGGTGGAATCTTGCCTTGAGGTCTCCCTTTATTCCATTTCTTAGTCTGTTTATCTCCTTGAATAAAGAATTTAGCTCCATTCTGCTTTCTGGTGCTCTTTTTGTCCTCAAAAATGTACTTTTGGTAATTTACCATGCTCAACTTGCTACTTTTCATTATAAATACTCATTAGAGTTACTATTAATATCTAAATGACAGAGTCTATACTAGGCTGTTTGGAGATTTCCTCTGCCAATGGAATTAATCCAAAATTCTTCACTTTAGCTTCAGGCAGACTCTTTGGACAAGGGCAAAAGGCAGCCACTTTATTCACCAAAATAGCACAAGAACGATCTCTAGGCAACATACTAAAATTATTCTCCTCTGAAACATCTTATGTGAGCTCCCCATAGTTGAAATAACTCTTAGCATATCTGTCTTCTATGCTCCTGCCAGTATAGCCAATTAACCAGTGCTTAAAGCATTCCACAAGCTCCAATCTTCTTGTCTCTGATTTTCAACCACTGGGATTTTAGGTGTGCAACTAGGTGTGGCTTTTACAACATTGCTGGACATTGAACTCAGGGACTGGAGCTTGCACAGGAAGCACTTTACTGACTGAGCCATCCGCACAGCTCCTGAGGGTTTCTTACACTATAGGTTTGTTATCAGAATCTGTGAAATGATGTTAGTATTAAAATAATGAAAAAAACAGATATTTTCATTGCTGAGAATTATGAGTCTTGGTAGTTTGTTTTTTTGGGTGGCGGGGGAGAGTTGAGACAGGGTTTCTCTGTGGCTTTGGAGGCTGTCCTGGAACTAGCTCTTGTACACCAGGCTGGTCTTGAACTCAGAGATCTGCCTGCCTCTGCCTCCTGAGTGCTAGGACTAAAGGCGTGTGCCACCATCGCCCAGCCGGGTAGTTCGTTTTTTTGTTGTTGTTGTTGTTGTTTTTGTTTTTTGAGACAGAGTTTCTCTGTATAGCTTTGGAGCCTATCCTGACACTCGCTCTGGAGACCAGGCTGGCATGCGCCACCAACACCTGGCTGGTAGTTCGTTTTTTATTATACTAGAATGATTAAAATAAAAATCTGGCAAGAAAGCTATGAACGGTGTCACACACCTTAAAACCCAACAGAGGTTTTAGGCCTCTGTGAGTTTGATGCCAGCCTCGTCTACATACTGCATCTATAGCAAGTCAGTCAGACCAACATAGTAACACTGTCTGAAAACTAAAAACTGTTTTTTTTTTAAAAAAAAAAAAAAAAAAAAAAAACTAGTTAAATATTTTTCTGGATACTCAACAAAGTATTTCCTTCAAAATAATAATCCTACAACATAAAAATCAGGTTTGTGCTGGGTGGTGGTAGTTCATGCATTTAATCCCAGCACTGGTGAGGCAGAGGCAGGTGGATCTCAGTGAGTTCGAGGCTAGTCTAAACTACTAAGTGAGTTCCAGGACAGCCAGGACTGTTACATAGGAGAAACCCTGTCTCAAAATACCAAAATAAATAAATAAATAAAAATAAAAAATAAAAGAAAAATCAGTTTTCTTTGTATTTATTGCTTAACACTTTCAAAACTGTCAAATGAGAAAAATATTTAATAGAAAGTGAGAAATAATGACAAGTATCTTCTTTTGCCTCTGCTATAGTTCAGGACTCTAAGAAGTAGTAGTAGTAGTAGTAGTAGTAGTAGTAGTAGTAGTAGTAGTAGTAGTAGTAGTAGTAGTAGTATGTTTTAATATGTTCTTTAGATACCTGTGCCACAGTCAGAAGACAATGTATGCTGTCACTTTGATCCTTTCACCTTTATATAGGTTCCAGAGATTGAATTCAGATCCTCCAGCTTGCTTAACTGCACCATTACCAGTTCAACTACCTTACTGGCCCCAAATTTAGGATTCAAATATATGTAGTTTCTGACTTTTCTTTTCTACCTGAGTGATCTCACTACTTTTTCTTTTTTTTCTTTTGTTGCTTTTCAGATTTACTGTATGTATGTATGTATGTATGTATGTATGTATGTATGTATGTATGTGTACCACATGCATATCTGGTGTCCACAGAAGTCAGAGTAAAGAAGGCAGCAGATCCTCTGGAACCAGAGTTACAAAAGAATGAGCCACTATTTGGGTGCCTGGAATCAAAGCTTCTGAATCTCTCCAGTCCTTGTTTATATTATTTTGAGGCAAGGTCTCACTCTAGTCAAGACTGCCCTGGAGCGTACTATAGCCCAGGCTGACCTTCAACTGGGCTCAATCCTCCTCCCTCAGCCTCTCAAGTACTGGGATTACAGCTGTGAGCTAACATGCTGCAACATAATGTTCTTTCAGAAGATAAGGCATGGTAAAAGAAGTCTTCTACAGTCTCCATAACCAATAACAGCAGCAATATAAGAGCCATCAAACAAAATTAGGTATATTTTGCCAGCAAGTGAAATATTTCATGACATAGTTATAAAATTACAAAAGAGGAAAATACAAATAAATTAGATTTAATCTTTCAATGATTACTCACGGGAACTGGAATCCCAAAGGGGACAGGAGTGTACTGGGTATAAAGATGAAGAGGTATAGGAACAAACACTGGCACAGGGACTGGTACCACCATAACCTGGGGCTCACTTGGAGTGTCTTCTAATGAAAAAGAGCACACACAGACAAAAAGGGTTAGAAACCATTTAAAAGAGGAGAATTTGTGCCAGGCAGCACACACCTTTAATCCCAGCTCTTGGGAGGCAGAGGCAGGAGGATCTCTGAGTTTGAAGCCAGCCTGGTCTATAGAGGAAGTTCCAGGACAGCCAAGGCTACACAGAGTCTCATAAAACCAAAACCCAAAAACAAACAAACAAAAAAGGAGAATTTATATTTGAGGAAGGGCATGTATTCAACAAATGATGAGAAGCACACAAAATATTTTTATGCAGAAGGAAAAGTCCTCTATGATGCAAAATTATCAATCCAGAATGAATTAGAAATGTTCATGCAAGGCAAGCAAAATAATTAAGGGTAAATATAAGAGAAATGATTCAGGATACTGTCCTGAGTAAAGATTTTTTCTTTAAAGTATGACTCCAAGGAAAGAGGCAAAACACATAACTGGCCAAAGACACTGCACTCAAAATGTTACATACAGAAACAATTCAGGAGCTAGGAGACAAGTTACAGAATGTACAACTTACATCTAACAAGAGATTACTAGCTAGAATACAAAAGAAATTCAAACAATGAACAGCAAAAGAACAAATAGAAAATGCTCTAAATAGGTATCTTTCCAAAGAATACATATAAATGGACAATGCAAAGATTTGAATGTGGCTATCACCAGCAAGAATCCATTCTAAATAAAGACTTTGGCCAAGTAGTGTTGCTGGAGGGTGGCAGAACCTTTAGGAGGACCTTACAACAATGGGGTGGGGGAATCACACCCTTATGTGGCAGCATAGGATAGTAGTGTCTCTGTCCTTGGTAAATTGCTTGATCCCAAAGATGTTCATCTCAATGTTACTTACACAGGGGTCAGGGAGTGTTATCCACTAGCCTGTGTGACCTACAAAATTATGTTCTGTTTAAGTTAGCTGCCTTGAGTATTTCATTATAAGGATCAAAAAGTAACTGTGTCAATAAAAATGAAAAATATTCAGTGTCATTAATGATCAACAGGAAAGTGCCTATCAAAATTATGACAGGACAGGAAAGACAGCTGAACAGATAAGTGCACTTTCGGGTCTTACAAAGACGTGCCTGGTCAGTGCCCAACACCTGTATCAGGTGGCTTACAACTAACTAGCTGGAATTTGACTAGCCTAGTCTACAAAGCTAGTTCCAGGACACCCAGTGCTATGTAGAGAAACCCTGGGGTAAGGGGAGTGGAATGGGGGAGGAGGGTGTGACAGGGAGGACACAATCCTCTGGGACCTGTGGTTGTCAGCAAGAGAAGCTATAGAGACACAAGCAAAGATGAAGACTATGGAAGAGTAATTTTTGGGGAAATGTCTAGAATGTGCAAAGCAAAAATAAATTAATATTTTTAAGAATGAGTTGATGACATTCCAGCCACTACCTGCACCAGCATTTAAGCTCAGCCCAACTTGAAATATTACTTAGCTCTGGCTAGCTATGGCGAGAGGACTTCTCTGTATGCTCAGTCTCAGCATTATTTTTTTTTTAAAAATCTTTTAAAACTCACTAGGGGGCTGGAAAGATAGCTCAGAGGTTAAGACACCGACTGCTCTTCCAGAGGTCCTGAGTTCAATTCCCAGCACCCACATTGTGGCTCACAACCATTTGTAATGAGATCTGGGGCCCTAATCTGGTCTGCAAGTATACGTGCAGACAGAATAACACAATAAATAAATCTTAAAAAAAAAAAAAAAAAACCCGAAGGGGGCTAGAGAGTTGGCTCAACAGTTAAAAGCACTATTGCTCTGCATCTGACCCAGGTTCAAATTCCAATGCTCACATGAAAGCTCACAGTTGTCTGTAACTCCTTTCAGGGGGGATCCAATGCCCTTTCTGACTTCCATGGACACCATGCACATGCACACAGTGACATACATGCATGTAAGCAGGGCTCTCTATATATAAAATATAAAACAAAAACCAACAAGACAACTCACTAGGAGGGAGTAGGTCCCTAATAATTTCTTATTAGAGGCTAAATTCCTGGTGTGTACAGCCAAGAGGATAGGGCTATTCTCCAATCAGCTATCATTCACAAGATTTACCCAAACACTGACAGGTCAACAACACAGGGATTCTAATCACTCACACCAGATCATTTGCAGAGCAGAACATCTATGTCAGGAGTGGCTGAGTAAGAACACCACATTACCCTGTACAGAATCCAGAGAAGCAATGCAGAGATTTTATGCAGAGGTAGAGATAATTCCTAAGAAAGTTTTGAATCTTTCTCAAGGCAACTAACCTTTTGTTTTAAGAAAAGGTTTCTCTTGTAGATAGTGTTGACTGGCCAAGAACTCATCATGTAGACAAGGCTGACCTCAAACTCAGAGCTCTGTCTGCCTCTTCCTCATGAGAGCTAAGACTGAAGGCATGCAGCTGACTTTGCACTAAGTTTCTTCGTTTTTTGAGATAGGTTTTCTCTACGTAGCCTTGGTTATCCTGGAACTCACTCTGTAGACCAGCCTGGACACGAACTAGATCTGCTTGCCTCTGCATCTCAAGTGCTGGGATTAAAGACATTTGCCACCATAACCTGGTGCAACTGACTTTTAAAACAATGTGAGGGAATAGGAATCCATGTTACATTCAAGAAGCACAGGGCTACATACATATCCCTAAGTCAACACATGTGAGAATGAGAAAAATAAAATAGTATTGAGTTATATAAATTTAAGAGCACAGTGAAAATTAAAGCATCTCTGAGTTCAAATCCCATCTACATTATTCTAAAGCTTATACTGAACAACACTGTTATTAATAAGGAAATTAAATGTGTTCATTGTATAGAGTTATGAACTAGCTTCTTTTTGAGCTAATTTATTAAACCTCAAGAGAAATACCTTACTTACGGGCACATTATGCAAACTACACTGGGCAATGCATAGAAGAAACTTATCTAGGAAACAGTGTCTCAGAGTAAGCCAATGCTCTCTTTCCTTTAAAAAAAAAAAAAAAAAAAAAAAGTAAATCCCAAGGCACATACCTGTCTGGCATTCTTTGTTTTGAGTATGTGGTTTACATGAAGTGGCTTTCGTCTGTGTGATGGGTTTGCACAATAAAGCTTTGTTCTTCAAAAGCCTTGGGGGTTGGGAAGGTGGAAGTTTCAGTGTATCTGGAGGGAGGGAGGGAGGGAGGGAAATCAAACAATTTCAAAATGTTTTGAGTAATTAAGATAATTTTAAAAGACTTAATACTGGAATTACATAGAAGAAGCAACATGTAAATATGCTACTAAATAAACCAGATATATTTTATGCCTGAAATAGTAACAGTAATCAAGGAATATTTTAATAACTATCAACTGACTCAACGTACTTACTATATTTGCTTATCAAGAAAAACTGATGAGCTTACAGTAAACCATTGATAGACTGGTACAATGGGGAGCTTTGAATGAGAGCTGTTACTTCCTCACTGAATTAGAGGCACAGTCTTAGAGGAGGTAACCAAGACTGAAGGAATCACTTGTGATCATTCTGTAACCGTAATTCAGGCACAGAGCTTGCTACCAAAAACAATTAATAAATAACTCAAATATGAAAATTAGCCCAGAGGCTAAGAACACTTTTAAGAAATACCACTGTTCCAGGCATGAGTTTTAAAAGTTCATTATTTTCTTAAAAGACAATGTAAGCAACGTTTAGTGAAAAAGGGTAAATTATATACAATTATGATCAGCATGAAATGGGAGACCACCTAAGTAAGGATGCTAACAATAATCAAAACAATCTGTAAGATTGAATGACCAACGTCTATACATTTACTTTAATTATGCATAATTTAAAAAAAAAACCTTCAGTAATTCATTACATCTGGTAACTACCAATCATTCAAATAAAGGTATAGAAGAGACCCGATTAGATAACAGAAATTTTATTCATCAACAATTCTTTTCCAAAATAAAGTAATTAGCTCAGACATTTATGTAATCCACATATATGAAAAATACAATCACATAAATAACTTACATCCCCAATGATTTTCGCTGTTACTGTTGGAACTGCACCTTAATAGAGATTAAAATATAAATTTAGGATTTTTAAAATTATTTAAACATTAGTATTAAAGGCAGTTATCAGTCCATAAAAAACCAGTAATGATCATGTATAACACTAGACATGATCGTGTATAACTTTACACTTAATAATAGTACAAAACAAGAAAAATAAGAAAAAGATATGGAACTTGAGGAAACACTACTTTGGACCCGAGTGGTACAGCAAGCTGCCAAAAGTTATACACAATATTTAACTCAAATGGGGAAAAAAAAAGCCAGTTCAAACCATACTATACCTTGTAGCACGCTGTTGGCATTTGCTGTGGGCTGAGCAGCAGGAGCACTTGCCAAAGATACCACATTAGCAATAACTGGAGTTGAATCTTTTCTGAGTGATGGGGGCCCTGCAGATGTAGCTTGAACCATGGAAATACTTGCTGGTTAATAGAGAAAGAAAGAAGACAGCTCATGTAATTTATATTTTGTAGAAATCAACAGTTCAAAGGAGACCAAGGTTTCTGGGATTGATTAAGCTGCTATGAAGCAGAGGATTTTAGGAATAACTAGGCTTTTTGTTTCATCATTAACAGGCCTTTTGGCTAAGGTCAAGTGTAGTGTCTTTTTCTTAATTACTAGGTTTTTTTGGTTTGCTAGATTTTTGTTGCTGTTGTTTTTCTTATTTCTTGGTTTTTCGAGACAGAGTTTCTCTGTGAAGCATTGGAGTCTGTCCTGAAACTCTCTGTAGACCATGCTTGCCTCGTACTCAGAGATATGCCTGCCTCTGCGTCAAGTGCTACACTGCCAAGCTTGTTAGCTAGTTTTTAATTAGAGAAATTTAAAAGTGTCTCATGGACTTTACCTTCGTATAAAAATGCAAGTCACACTTAAAACCACAAAAATGCCCAAAGCCATTATTCCAAACAATGACAATTACAAAGCAGATTTAATGAGATGAAGATGTTTTTATCTTTATTTGTAAAGGAATTTGTAAGAAATATCTAGAGTAGGCCCTTGCTTCTCCTCACTTGGACTCTTCACCATAAAGCTTCTAAAATTTTATATCATGCGTATGTTGGTTGTTGACTGACACAGGTCTCATTATGTAACCCAGGCTTGCCTCAAACTCACCATGTGATTCATGCTATCCTTGAACTCTTCATTGCCTGACTTAGTAAGGCTAGAGATATGTACCACCAACCCTGACTATTTATGGTAAACTTAAAGGGCCATTTATAATAAACTTAGTCTTCATTTCCTTTGCTACAAGCAATCTGAAACCTTTCATTATGGAAGCCAATGTGTGTATACAGAATTAAAAAACAGTAAATGTCACCAGGCGTTGGTGGCACATGCCTTTATTCCCAGCACTTGGGAGACACAGGCAGGTGGATCTCTGTGAGTTCGAGGCCAGCCTGATCTCCAGAGCGAGTGCCAGGATAGGCTCCAAAAAAGCTACACAGAGAAACCCTGTCTCAAAAAAACCAAACAAAACAAAACAAAACAAAAAAAAAAGAACAGTAACTGTCAGACTTTCCCAGAAAACAGAGTACGGCTGAGTCAGGATTCTGAGAAAAAGCTACAACAAAAATTCATTTCCCTGATTTTTAAGTATCCTATAAAAGGATTTAATTTCAATGTTGAAGGTATTTGTGCAATTTTGTTGTTGTTGTTTGTGTTGCTGTTATTGTTTTGAGATAGGACCTCTCTATGTAGCCCTGGCTGTCATGGAACTTGGTATGTGGAATAGGCTGGCCTTGAACTCACACAGACCTATATTCCTCTGCCTCCTGAGTGCTAGGATTGAAAGCCATCATGACCAGCTTGTTACTGGTATTTAAACACAGTAAGAGTTGTATTTCATAAAATTACTGACAATTTATATATTCTAATCTGTGCAAAAAAGTAGTTAGCTCCTTGCGATGATAAAAATTCATTTTATTCCTCATTACATTTTACCTGAGTTGTTTTGTAAAGGTGGGTCACATACAGTTTGCTGATGACAGAACATCAAGATACAAAGCAGGTTACAAAAGTGTTTTATTTCCCCTCGCCATTTCAATGACTCACTGAGTTTACCCTGTCTCTTGCAACCATCACATTTGGCCATCTGAAACAAATTGAAGACAGTAAAGAAAAACAATTATCAAAGGCTCAGCTGTTAGCAACACTTAGCTGCTCTTCCAGAAGACCCAGGTTAAATTCCCAGCCCTCATATGGCGGCTCATAACCATCTACAGTTCCAGGGAATCTGATGCCCTCTTCAGGACTCTGCAGGCACCAAGGCACACACATGGTGCACAAACATACATGCAGGCAAACATTCATGAAATAAAAATAAATAGGAACAACAATAAGAAAAAAAAAAAAAAAAAAAAAAAAAAAAAAAAAAAAAACATTCCTGTAGTTGAACAAAATAAAACCAGGAGAACAAGAAAGGAAATTTTAGAACCTACAGATTTTTTTTTAATTTGAAAAGTTAACACATTATTTGTTCATGTGTGTATTGTTAATCTGACAAAGTAACACATTTGTTTTTATTTACAGAAGTTAAATTATAAAGTCAAAGTTGACTACCCTAAAATGGTAAATATTTCCACAATAATGGTTTAAAAAGTGTGTGTGTGTGTGTGTGTGTGTGTGTGTGTGTGTCCACTTTATCCACTGAACCATTACATCAATGACATCATTTTAAAAATCACTTTTTAAAAAATAAGCCAATTCATATTATTATTAGAGACTACCAAATAAATAACAATTTAAAAACAAAGTTTTATTTTTACAAGTTGGCTCAGTGGGTAAAGTCACTTACTGCCATGCCTGATAACCTGAGTTCAATCTCTAGGATCCACATGGTGGAAAGAAAATGAACTCCCACAGGTTCTCATCTGACCCCCTTCCCTACATGTGTACAATATGCATACCGACATGTACTCATGTACACAAAATAAATAAATGTAAGAAAAATAAAAATGAATTAAAACAAGAATTTTTGTTGTTGTTATATAACAAACGCACCACTTTTTTTTTTTTTTTTTTTTTTCCGACACAGGGTTTTTCTCTGTGTAGCTTTGGAGCCTATCCTGGCACTCGCTCTGGAGACCAGGCTGGCCTTGAACTCACAGAGATCCGCCTGCCTCTGCTTCCCGAGTGCTGGGATTAAAGGCATGCGCCACCAACGCCCAGCAAAACAAGAATTTTTTTAAAAAATCATTTTAAATAAGACTTTGGTTCTTCACAATTCAGAAGAAAAATCCATTTATTTAAATGATAAATGAGTAAATTTAATTAAAAAAGTATTTTAATACCATAAGTCAGCTGGATCTGCTACAGAAAGTTAAAAACAAAAAGAGTAAGATTGAAGCCCCCCACATGTTCTAATAATTGCAAGGAAACAAAATACTTAATATTACATACATTTTAATAACCAACTTATTATTCTTTGGACATGAAATTAAGAAAAGTTAATGATAACTATCCCCAAACCCAGGCATGTGAGTGGTATTTTTTTTTACCTGATAAAACAAAACTGTATACTTAGACATGCATTCTTCACAACAGAAGTCTTCCACCTTTCCACCCAAATTATTCTGTATCAATTTGGGAGATGTCTGTAAACAATAACTGCACATTTTACAGTGACTTCCCCAGCGTTTCCCCAAGTCATGTTTATAAAGCAATTTGCAACCTAAGAAACCAGGAAAAATAAAATTAACAATGTGATGCATAATAATTACTTACATTCTAAAGTTAGAAAAGCATTATGTTTTCACACTTGGACCTAACCAACTGGCAGGGCTGGAAATCAATTATAGGTTCAAAACTAACTGTGAGTATGTTGACTGAAATATATGTCATGTATAGTAACTTTCATTTCATAAAGCTTTTGTTTTATTTGAAATGTGAAAATATACTAGGCTTATAATTTAAGCTGCTAATGCAAAATGTAATTATTTTGTGTTATACATCAAGAAGGATAACACAGTCATTTTAGAGTCAATCAAAACATTTTTCCACATACATATCATCTAAATAAAGAAAATAATTTAACATCATTTTGATATCACTATTCAGACCATTTATATTCAGGAACACAATCTGAGGATGCCATAACTTAAAGACTTCTGCCAGGTGGCAGTGGCTCAGGCCTTTAATCCCAGCATTGGGGAGACGGAGATAGGCGGATCTCTGAGTTCAAGGTCAGCCTGGTCTACAGAGCAAGTTCTAGGACAGCAAAAGCTACACTAAGAAACCCTGTCTCAAAAAACAAAACAAAAACAAACAATAAAATAAAATAAGTCAACTTCCAGCTTGAAATGAGTATATGGCCTAAATAACTTTGAGTTCTCCATCAAGCTAATAAGGTCAAATATATTCTGTGTCACCATGAGGCTCTTTCACTTCATCTACACAAAATTAAGAACTAGACAAAAAGAGCAAATTATCTGTCAATAAATAAAAAGGCGTTGTATGTACAAAGGATAAAATAAATTGACATAGCAATCCTTAAACAACTACTTTAGAAACCACCACCATGCTCAAAAGTAAGGTTCCCTTTTGTCTTTTTACCTTCACTACAAAATGACTTGTCAGCACCTGAGAATCGCACAGTCTCCTTTATAATTTTCTCAATTTTACAATATTCACACATTGCCATTACATTATTGATTTTCTTATATTCGTCAGAACAATTCTTGCCACAGAACTGAAACATTTTACCCTGTAAAAAACATTGAGTAGTAATTAGACATTTTGTTTATGTTATGGAAACTTCATCCATTTTATTTCAAAAATATAAGATATGCAGTTGGTCATGTGGCACCTGTCTGTAATCCCAGTACTTAGTAGGCATAGACAGACAAATCTCTGTAAGTTTATAACCAGCCTGTCTACATACTGAGTTCCAGGCTAGTCAGAGCTACACAGTAAGCCCATCTCAAAGAAAAAGAAAAACAAAACAAAACAAAACAAAAAACAGTGCAATTTTGAGACAAAAAATTAAAAATATATTTACAGACAGAACCATTATACTCAAACTCTTATTATCATGAATCTGTACTTTGGTGTTTTATTTCCTTTGTATTTTGTAAAAAAGAGTTTCTCAGTGAGTAGCTACACTTGATTTTAAACTCAAAATCCTCCCACCTTAGCTTCCTATGTGCACACGCATCCACAGCAGCTATGAGGCCACACCTACCTTGTAGTCAAGAAGCTCTGGTTTTGTAGCAAAAAGACGATTACAGTGTTGACACCTAAGCTTCACCACACTTCGGGCAAACCCAACATGCTGGGACTGGGCTGCCAGCCGCTGGAGACCAGCTGCAGCAGAGCTGCTGATGGAGGTGGGGGATACAGCAGGGGTATTCCCTCCACCTGCAGACACTGCTGAACCTGTGGGGATGCTCACAATTACTTGGCCCTGAGACAAGGGCACTACTGAAGAATTCATTCCAGTTGGTTTGTTGAATAAATTCTGAAAAAGTAAACAATAACAATGGTTCTATTTAACTACTTCTTCAAAAAGTAGGAATTATGCCCCTATGTATGCCAAGCAAGGTTTTAGTAATGCAACAAGCTAGGTTCCTTGGCTTTGAACACCTCAAAAGTGAATGGGGCAAGTCTCACGTAGAAAAACAATCCAATAATCTTCAAAACTACTATTCTCACAAGAGTGTCATTTAATTTTATGGAGGACAGTTATGTGACTTTACAGGCTGAACTAATAATCTAAGCTAAAATATTGTAATAGAAACAGACAATCCTGGTAGAGTATGTTTGTATTACTACAGTAGGCGATGCACTGACTGAAGAAGAGGAAGATTCCCGAAGTCCTACCTGGAAAGCTACCACACAACTGTAGCTGCAGAAGTTGCGTATACTTCCATCTGACATGGCTAGATGATACTGAGGGATTGCTGAGGTTTTACAACTGTTACACTGAACTTGTACACCTTAGCAAATGAAAGTAAAAGCTAATGAGTCACACATGAACCTATGAGGAATTCAGTATTATAGACAAAACTTCAATTTTCAGGTTAAGCTATAGGAACTGAAGCTAACCTCCATCATGCCACATCTTTCAAAAACTAAATGAACATTTATAAAGTTTTAAGTTTTTAAATAGTCATAATCTACCCTGGAATTATAAGATGAATGGATCTTGAAATATATTGGATGTGGATAAAGAAGATACATTAAAGAGGGTATCTGTAATCCATTCAGTAAGGGGGATGAATAAATAGGTAAGCAAGTAAATAAGGTAACAGGTAATATTTTACAATAAAATGTGAACTATTTGCCCTAAAAATCAACTAAATTTAGACAAAAATTTGGGTCAGCAAAAAAGTCGTAACTAATTTTCCAACTATTACATTTTATAGTTTATGAAAGCAGTATTACCTGCAGAAGTAACCATTTTAACTCTGTAAGCAGATAAGCAATTAACAGAACAGAAAAGTTCTGTCTTCCCCAAGCTATTGGTATTCTCAATCATTTCTGCTGAGGATCTCAATGATTTGCAAAGCGCACATGGTGTTATTTTGGCTGATTTCTAGTAACAGAATAAAACAACATTCATTTTTACTAAATTCATAAAGCATAATTCTTTGAAATGTTTAAACTTAACTCTGATGATATATTACTACTTTTTATGTGTGGTGCTAGGAATCAATCCCGGGACCCTGCATGGTGCATTTTCCCCCTTACTCATGAAGTATTTTAAATCAGTACCTTTCAAATGATCATCATTACAATCCTCAGTAATAAGTTCCACAAAGGGAACCTATATGTTATTCTAAAATTCTGAGTTTGTGTATTACATACATATGCATACAAAAGTAAAAAGTGTTTCGCAGAGCAACACACATCATGGAAACATACATTATACTTTCATATCTCTACTGTATTTCATTAGAAAAGTATTAGTCATAACCTAGCAATTAATTTAAAGTCTGATAATTGATGATCAGCATTATTTTTTAAAAGGTGTTTTATGTATTAATACAATGCCTCTTTTATATTATATTAGCTGAAAAGTGTAAAATACTTCCTACAAAAGGTACTATTTAAAGCAATGATGTTTTCCCGTAAGGAAATCAATACACTTACTAGAAGACTCAGTATCAATCCTCTCCATCAAATAACAATGCATAATGTAAGCAGCAAGATGGGAGCAGATCTTGTAATCAGTGAGGCTGACAGAGTACTCAACAGAAAATAATAGTCAATACTATTACCCCATAACACACTTAAGAGAACACTGTTCAAGCAATAACTAAGAGACTTTAACATCTCGTTCCCTTACACCTGATTGGGAATATCTTGTAATTCCCAATCCAAACTGCAAACACAAACAATTTAAAAGACTTGAGTGAAAATTCATCTTTGTGAAACTTTTGCTGACACACCTGGTTCTACCAACTATGCTGTGTTGTACACAGTACATCATAATACTTCCAATACACCATCTTTATCTACTCACTTATTTATATGTCAGAAACATGTCTTCCACAAAAGAGGGATTGGATTCAATGTTTGTTTGACTAAATTAAAGAGGAAAGGCAAGTGGCAGCAATAACCATCTACAACATGCCAGGCTCAGTATTAGTGTTTTTGCTCTTACTTTTAAATAATCCTGAACACAGTCTAATTTTCACAGCCATTAACAGGTAAAACAAACAAAAAACCCACAACAACATAGAATCCATGATTCCTAAGTCTAACTGTTTTCTGGGTGTAAAACTGTACATGAACATACTGGATTGGTCTTAACTATTATATTAAAATATGACTAGGTGTTTTTGTTGTTGTTAGAAAGATGTTTGTGTTTTTACATTGAAGATAGTCTCACTTTGCTGTTCTAAATGGCTTGAAACTCACTATGTAAACCAAACTGGCCTCAAACTCAGTCTATCGTCTGTCCTCTAACTACCAAGGACTGAGGACTAAAAGAATGAATGCATCACCATGCTTGCCCTCGTATTTTTTGGAAGAGGAGGTAGTAAGGAATATTAAATTCTTGTCCCTAACCTGGCATGTTTCAATAGCTGAAAAGTAAGTAATTCCAAAATTAAAATTTAAAACTCATTCTAAAAGTAAGACATTTTATTCTATTTCTTCTTTTACAAAGTATGACTCAACTTTTAGTGCCTGATACACAATCAGGAAAAGAACAGCCTTCTGAAAACATTTAATTTTTTTCATTTGTGAGAAAAACATGAATATATTATATAATAAAGCTCAACAATTATAAATTGATTTAACGTGAAATTGCCTATAATTTTAAAAATAACTCAAAGCGAGTACCAGGCCACCCAGTGGTACACAGTGAAAGCATTAACTCCAAAACAAAGCAAAAATACACTTCCCCCCAAAACCTAACTACACTATTCATTAACTTTGGTGGACTGCATAGAAATGAAGGCACAGGCTGGGCAGTGGCAATGCACACACTGAATGCCAGCACTTGGGAGGCAGAGGCAGGCAGCTCTCTATAAATTCGAGGCCAGTCTGGTCTACAGAGTGAATTTCAGGACAGGCTCCAAAACTACAAAGAAGCCCTGTCTCGAAAAAACAAACAAATAAACCAACCAACCAAAAACAGGAAGCCACTGTAAAATACAAAATACAAAATACATAAAGTATTTTCCATCCCTTTACAACAGTGGTTCTTAACCTTCCTAATGCCATGACCCTTTAATATAGTTCCTAATGTCATGGTGACTCCCAACCATAAAATTTTCATTGCTACTTAACTGTAATTTTACTACCGATATGAATCATAATGCAAATACTTGTGTTTTCCAATGGTCTTAGGCCAACAGTGAGTCATAAGACCCTCCACCCCCACCCCAACAGGTCATGAACCACAAATCAAGAACCACCGCTTTAGTGTTACAATTATGAAACTAATATTTGACCAAAATTTACTGGCAAAATATGAAACAAAAACCAAAACAGCATAAAAGATCCTTATCATAGAACTGATCCAGTTTATTGCCTACAAATTGCTAACTCACAAATAAATAACCCTCATTTGTTTTATTTCATGAAGAAAATTCTCTCAGCACTCAGGAGGCAGAGGCAGGTGGATCTGTGAGTTTGAGGCCAGCCTGGTCTACAGAGTGAGTTCTAGGACAGCCAGGGCTACACAGAGAAACCCTGTATTGTAATGGGGGAAAAAAAAAAAAAAAAAGTTAAAAACCTCTTTGCTTTACTATGATTTTTCTTTTCTGGTTAACAACTGTAATTATATGGTTCCCTATTTGCAAGAAAATATACATTGAGATCGCACACACAAACATGTGCAATCTGGACCTTTTTGTTAAAAAACAAATGTATTAACAGACTAGAAGGCTATACACTTAAAAGATTAAGACTGGTTATCCTTAGGAGTTACATTGCTGCCTTTTGTTTGAGTTATTTAAAATTACTATTCAAAAATATAGATCACATCTGAATTAAAAGACACGCCTTAGCTAGGCATAGTAAATGCAGATGACTCCTGCACTTGGCAGGGTGAGGTAAAAGGACTACAAGTAATATGCACTGAGCCATATAACAAATTCCAAAGAGACATGGCTGCATAGTGAGAACCTGTCTCAACAAAACAGAGTCATACACTATTCATTTCTTTTCAGTTGTTCAAACAGGGTTTCTCTGAGTAAAAGCTATCCTGGAACTCCCCTGTAGACCAGGCTGGCCTCAAACTCACAAAGATCTGCCTGCCTCTGCCTTCTGAGTGCTGGGACTAAAGGCATGAGCCATGAATGACCAGCTGAAAGATGCATTTCTTAATGCATTTAGAGAAATTGGAACTACAGAACACTATTTCAGAATATTTAAAATATATTCATTTGGCAAATACCATTTAGTTGTAAAAACTTAACCAAATTTTAAGTCTCATTATTTTAAACAACTATTTCAAAAATAATTTCTTCCCAAAGGTTTCACCTCCCCTGAAATGAAAAGAGATGATAAAATTCAGTATGGTCAAATACCTGCTTGTATGAGGTGACACACATTGAACTACAAAACTTCTTAGACTGCCCCTCAATCTGAAGCACATGGCACTGTCCAGAGCCACTGTAACAGTAACCACCACAGTTCTCACAACAGTTCATAGTGAGGTTGTTAGCAGAGCGAAACTTAGAGAAGCAGGCATCACTGCAAAGTTTATGGACCACGTTCTGGTAATTAACTTCATGTCGAATCTAAAAATTATAAAGTGACACCAAAACAACAAAAACAAAGAATAAAAACATTGACCTTTAGACATAAGCAATACACTTATTCCCCCAAGAAGAGTACAAAGGTAACTTACAACAGCGTTCTTCTGACACATGCTGCATTTGGTTGAAATGCTATTTGTATTTATGGTAACAATGGGTTTTTTTTTCAGTTCATATGTTGACAAGCAAGACTGACTGCAAAAATCCTTACTGGTGGTACTATTTTCAAACTGCGCACTGATCACATCCTTTGGATTTAAAATGTCTCTAAAATGATAACAAAGATAAAATGTAAGTCACAGGATATTACATTTACTCCCTTTTGTTTATTAAAGCAACCAAATAAAACCAGGGAAAGGACATTGCAACTTTTGTTTGTTTGTTTGGTTTGGTTTTTTGAGAGGGTTTCTCTGTGTAGCTTTGGAGCCTATCCTGGCACTCGCTCTGGAGACCAGGCTGACCTCGAACTCACAGAGATCCGCCTACCTCTGCCTCCCGAATGCTGGGATTAAAGGCTTGTGCCACCAACGACTGACAACAACTTTGTTTTTATTAAACTATTTTAATTTTATATGTATGCGGTTTTGCCTACATGTATGCCTGTGCACCATGTGGGTTTCTGCTGTGTTCAGGAACCAGAAAAGGGAGTTAAATCCCTGGAACTGGAATTATACATGGATGTAAGCCACCATGTGGGTGCTGGGAATCAAAGCTGTATCCTCTGAAAGAGCAGTCAATGCTCTTAATCACTGAGTTGTCTATCTAGTCCCCAGGTACATTGCAATTTACATCTGTATGTTTATGTTTGTAAATTTGTGGTATGTATGTGCAGTCTGTATGTATGTGTATTTTACATATTCTTTTAAAGATTTACTATTATTTTATGTATAGAAACATGTGCCTCTGTGTATGTATATACACCATGTGTGTGCCTGGTACCTAAGGAGGCCAAAAGGCAGCACTGCCTCCCCTGGAACGGGAATTACAAACAGTTATGTGGGTCCTGAGAACTACAGCAGGATCCTCTGCAAGATCAGCAAGTGCTCACTACTGATAAGTCACCATTCCAGCCCCTCAAACAATTATTTCTGAACATGTAGGGGAAAAAAACCTGTCTACAGATAGATCAGTGACAATCACCAAAGGACAGAGAAATATGATAAATGCAGATGAAATTAACATGCATGAAAAAGAATGTAAAGAAATACATATCCAAACACTGTGGTTGGGAAGACAATTCAGTCAGGAAAAGGCTCACCCTGAAAGCCAAAGAACCTAAGTTCAATGCCCAGAATCTAAATAAAAACCCAGGTGTGATAACGAGTACTTGTAGTGCCAATGCTAGAATAGTCCAGACATGAAGATTCCTGGGAGACAGGAGGATCCCTAGGGCAAATGCCAGCCAGCTGAGAGTAGTTGGTGAGCTCCACACCAACAGGTCAATGACATACTTTTTTTTTTTAATTTATTGAACTTTATTTTATATGTTTTGGTGTAAAGATATCAGATTCTCTGGAACTGGAGTTACAGAGAGTTGTAAGTTGTCATGTAGGTTCTGGGAATTGAAAGCATGCCCTCTGGAAGAGCAGCCAGTGCTCTTAACCTCTGAGCTATCTCCCCATCTCCATGACATTCTGCCTTAAAGAAGGCATATACTATTCCTGAGGATGACACTCAAAGTTATCTTCTATCCTTCTATTCATGGGCATATATGTAAACATACACACACACATACACAGACACCTGTACACATGTGTACATACATGACCTCCCCTATCTGCATACACACAAAAATATATACATGGACAGGAAACACATTTCTGTGAATTTTACATGGTAATTTTAAAAATAAGTGATAAAACCTTAAAGAAGTACCTATAGTTATAATGAAAGAGTCATTGACACCTTAGGAATGGCTGGTCTCTAAAATGATTAACAATTTGTAAATTGTTGTTACATCAATCAAATTATTTCATAATAAAAAAACAGCAAACAAGAAAGGAAAAAATAAAAGGTAAAATAATCACAGTTTTCACCCTAACTTAGTTGTAGAATAATTTGAAAGTGCCTATACTAGAATACAAAAGTTTAGGCAGAATACATCTAAGTATTCACTTTTAAAACCACATGTTATAACCAAAGCAGAAAAAATAAAGCACCCTATTTCGGGTAAATTAATTTTGCCAGTAATAGTATGTGAAAGTCAATTCAATAATTAGTTTAATAAGTTATAGCTATAATTATAATAGCTATTCTCTAAACTTTAAGGTCACTATATAATTCATTCAATAATATTAGTTATCTACTAGATAGACTATATAGTAGTAAGTCCAACAAAGTAGACAACTCTATGTTATTTCTATTTAACACTGACAGATAATAAAGTGTATTTACTACACATAGTACAAGGCTTTAAAGTATATCTTTATGGCCAAATGGCTAAAGTTACTTAATATATATTACCTCAGTTGTCATTTTGTGACAATAATAATTTATATGAACTCAGAACTTGGGGGGGGGGGCTAGTTTTGTTTTGTTTTCCAGACAGTTTCATTATGTTGCACTGGCTGTCCTGGAACTCTCTCTGTAGACCAGGCTTACCTCAAACCCAGAGACCCACCTGCCTCTGCTTCCCAAGTGCGGTGATAAAAGGAGTGTAGTACCACCCCTGGTTATTTAACTCAAAACTTCAAAAAATACTAGCTATGGTCACTATGTTTTACAATTGATTGCTTGAATTTATTCCTTGTATTATAAATCACCAAAACACCAATATCATTATTAAGTGAATTTTAACTTTGAACAAAACTAGATGAAATATGGGCTGGAGAGATAGCTCAGAGGTTAAGAGCACTGATTGCTCTTCCAGAGGTCCTGAGTTCAATATCCAACAACCACATGGTCGCTTACAACCATCTGTAATGAGATCTGGTTCCCTCTTCTGTCCTACAGGCATACATACAGGCAGAAAATTTTATACATAATAAATTTAAAAAAAAGAATAGATCTTTATTCCAAAAAAAAAATCTAGATGAAATTTCCTAACCTACCAAATCAAGGTACATGGCTCTAGATCACTTTCAGCCACATACATTCACCAGATAAAACTATAATACCATTGAAGAACTACTCCAAAATGAATGTTCCCTTTTCTTAAATGAATAGTACCACAAATGTTCCAATTTTCACATAGTTTTTTTAGATTTTGGAATATATGCACAGATATTACTGATTAAGCATCCATGATCTGAAAATCTTGGAATGTTCAAAATCATAAAATTTCTGAGTATGCTTTATTACTCAAAAATTTTTGAATGCTGGGTTTTTCTGTTCCTGATTCTCAAACTTGATAACCTTTAAGACCCCCACCCCCCCCAAAAAAAAAGCTGTGGTGTTTGTTATTTTAAGGAATGGCAATATTACAAAAAAAAAAATTTAACTTCTCAGTTATCCCTGACATGTGAACAAAAAATAGATATGCACAGAGGCTGGGGAAATATCACTGTGGTTAACAGCACTTGGTTGCTCTTCCAGAGAACCTGGGTTCAATGCCCAGTATCCACGTGGCAGTTCACAATGATCTGTATCTCCAGTTACACATTCTCCTCTGACTTCTGAGGGCACCAAGAACACATGTTGTACACAGATATACATGCAAGTTAAAAAAAAAAAAAAAACATGATAATAAAATAAAACTAATTTTTAAAAACTTAAAAGTGGGGTTGGAGAGATGACTCAGAATTTGGGAGCACTGACTGTTTTCCCAGAGGTTCCTTTCCGAGAAACCACATGGTGGCTCACAATCATCTGTAATGAGGTCTGGCCTGGAGGCATACATACAGACAGAACACTGTATAAATAATAAATAAATCTTTAAAAGAATAAAACTTTGGGCTGGAGAGATGGCTCAGAGGTTAAGAGCACTGGTTGCTCTTCCGTATGTCCTGAGTTCAATTCCCAGCAACCACATGGTGGGCTCACAACCATCTCCAATGAAAACTGGTGCCCTAATCTGGCCTGTAGGAATACATGCAAGCAGAATACTGTACACATAATAAATAAATCTTCGAAAAACAAAAAAAAAGAATAAAAACTTAAAAGAGATTTGCACCTACATAAATTCAAATTTCTGTTAAGTCTCTGTCTAATTCAAAAGACAAGAGGAGTAATCAGGGGTAAAACAGTGAAAGTTAAATAATTAACCGCAGTTTAAATTGAGAGGCCAAGAGGTTTCAAAACACCAAAATAGTATTATTCCTTTTTCCTTTTTTTCTTTTTTGGTTTTTTGAGACATAACCTCTCTACGTAGCCCTAGCTGTCCTTTAACACACAGAGATCTGTCTTCCTCTACTGAAGGTGTCATCACACCAAGCTTCTTTTTTTTTTTCTGAGTTACTCTATTAAATATTTACTATCACCTTATAAGATCTATAAGGATAATCTTAGTATTACTCAAAAACATCAAGATGATTTTAATTAAGTCAAGGTTAATATTTGTTATTTAACTTTACAATAGAACTTCTAATGGTTCAGATTCTGGAATGTGTGTGAGTGTGTCACTTAAGGTTAGACCAAATTTAAATATATTTCAACAATAACAGATAGGAAACATAACTTTAAATATTTGTTGCACCTAGGGTCTATTGTCAACAACTGCAAAATAAAACGCTATGGTGCTAGAATAGTAAGATGTAAGGAATCTCACTTAACTAATGAAAAGGAAAGGGTTAATTTCAAAACAATTTGTTAAGTTGGAAGAGAACTGAGCACTTCCCACTCAGAATACTGAAAGCAGCAACAACATGGTGGCACTAAATTACATGGTATTTCTTTACAAAAGCTCCCACAGCAAAGTAGAAACTAAAACATAACAAATAAGTTAAGAAACAAACACGGAAAGAAATAAAGAAACAGAAAAGGTAATTTAGAACTCTGCTATACTTTGAGCAACTTGAACAAGTCTTCTTGGTAAGAAGAGGTGGCAGGCGGGCAGGTGGGACTGTGTATCCAGTGAGGCACAGTGTGGAGCAGAAAAGCTGTGTAGACCCTTTCCTCTGATATGCAGTCTGCCCCTTCTGGAGGATTTTTTTACAACCAGAACAGGAAACTCGAACAGCTGCAGCTGGAACTGAAGGAAGCATTTTATTCATGCCAGGTGATGCCAGAGAAGGCTGAAAGCCAGTAGTCAACTGTGGAGCTTTAAAATAAAAAAAATTAAAAAATTTAAAGAATGAAGAGAACACTGAAAGGAAAACTTACTTTTTATTTTGCATTTCATGAATTGGTACTTTTCTAGAGCTAGTTTGGAACCTAGTATTAACTATGGAATATACAATGTAAAGGATTCTAAATGAACAGAGAGAACAGCCTAGTTTATTAACATTAACAGAAATGCCCACTCATTCATGTTGGCCAGAATAAATACAATTCATTTATTCAGGACTGATTCTTACCAAGAGGACTGCCACTGACTGAAAACACAGCACTAATTTTCAGTTCCCCCTCTTGAGTTTTTTGCTGTTGGCCATGATTATACTCCTTTAAAAAAGAAAAACCATGAGTAAATACAGAGAAAAGAATAAATTCCTCAAGAAATCAAGACAGTTTACTATTGCTGTACAGAAGTGGAAAATGTTTACAACATTAATAGGAAATAATGAAATACAAACAGTAAACAAACTATAATTAACAAGGGCAAATATGTTTGTATACCCGGAGTGAGAAAAAAACCAAAAAGAATGTTAGCTACCCAAATAGTCAGATGCACTACTAGTTCCTAAATTATTTCTGAAATTCTTAATATTACAGTATTGTAAACATCTGCTTATTATAAAAGTAATACATAATCACAATAGAACATTTATTTAGAAATAAAGAAAAAAACTTTGGCTCTCATTTCCATCACCTCAAAGGTCTGCTGTGACTCTGTGGTATATTTCTTTCCAGTCTTTTCCCTTCTCTAGTCAAAGAAAAGTTTTGTTTCTTTAGAATTATAATTTATTCTAAATTTTTCTAATGAATTTGTGTCCTGCTTATTTGAATTATTATATATTCTTGCATAGCTATCCAGAATAATTTCTAATGATTAAATACCATTATTTATAAGACTTAAGTCCAAGAACCAGCAGTCTAGGTTGTCTGAGAATTCTAAAAGAACACTTAAAACACTGTATTATTTAAATGACTTAAAAGTTTTTGCCTAAATATATGTATGTGCACTACATGGATACCTGGTGCCCATGGAGCTTACAAGAGTCCAGTGGGACTAGAGTTACATATGGTTGTTAGCTCCACTATGTAGGTGCTAGGAAATAAACCCAAATCCTCTGGAGGAGCAGCCCATGCTCTTAACCTAAAAGCCAAACTCTCCACCCTTAAATAAGTTTTAAATACAAGTAAACATTTTAAGTCATACATAGCCACCACACCAGAATTCCAGTATATAATTTACAGGGTTATTCTTTGCCCATACAATTATACTGCTCACCTGTAACAGCATTAAGTAACAGTTGTTTTATAATTTTAAGATATTTATCACAGACATACTTCCTTTTTGGTGGTGGGTTTAACAACACACTAAACAAACCTAAGCAATATTGGAATTTATTATATATGCGTAATGACGTATCAGATAAAACAGCTGAAATTGACTTGAAATATGTACACCTGACTTGGGCAGAAAACAAAGAGTACCCAAATTATGACAGTATTTGAACACAGCATTTTTCTTGTGGGGTTTGTTTTGTTTTTGAGGCAGGGTTTCACTGTACAGCTCTGAATGACCAGAAACTTGCTAAATAGACCAGATGAGGCCCGAACCTGCTGCTTCTGCCTCCTAAGTATTGGGATTATAGGGTAGTGCTACCATAAATGACTAATACAGAATATTTCTTAAAAAAATGAAAATTTATGCAAAACCCCATGGCTAACAGTACAACTTCTTAAAAGGCAGGATCAGTATTACTCATTTTCTCTACTTTTTGCCTCGGGCTCTAACACAAAGATGCATGGCACTGACATCTAATGGCAACAGTGTTGGTCTACTTAATTATTCAGCACAGTGGATTATACAATGATGAATATCATTTTGTTGTTGTTGTTGTTGTTGTCGTCGTCGTCGTCGTCCCCCCAACAGGGTTTCTCTGTGTAACAACAGCCCTAGCTATTCCAAAAATTGCTTTGTAGTTCAGACTGACCTCAAACTCACAGAAATCCAAATACCTCTGCCTCCTATGTGCTTCGATTAAAGGCAACCAAACCCTGCTGATGAATATCTCTAATCAAGTAGAATTACTAGGTTACAAGATACATTTTAAAGAGTTTTAAAACATTATGAGATTGGTTTTGTTCAAACAAAACTGTGATTTTGGGGTTGGGTTTTGTTTGGTTTGTTTGTTTTTCAAGGCATTTCCCAGTGTAAATCAGGATGTCCTCAAACTCAAAAGATCCACTTGCCTCTGCCTCCCTATTGCTGGAATTAAAGGTATACACCACCACACCTGGCTTTCAGCAAAGCTATTCTTACTCCAATAATTCATAGGGGAGAAAATAAAAGCCAATTAAAAGGTTTTTTCCTATTTGTTTTATTTGCACCTATTTTTTTAAATGATTTATTTATTATGTATACAACATTCTGCCTGCATGTCAGAAGAGGGCACCAGATCTCATTACAGATGGTTGTGAGCCACCATGTGGTTACTAGGAATTGAACTCAGGACCTCTGGAAGAGCAGTCAGTGCTCTTAACCTCTGAGCCAGCTCTCCAGCCCCTATTTGCACCTATTTTTAATGTTCACTTACAAGTGCATTATGATATTACAATATTATCCTCAGTAGTATTTATCAACATTTCTTTTGAGTTAAATTTTTTATGTACTCAAGTTTTCATTAATGCCAAAAATTTGACAATCTCTACCTTTATGATTTCTTCTATCTCTCATAAAGTTTTACTTCCATAACAAAATAATAAGGAAGTGTTTTCAGTGTTTATAATACAGTCCTTTAATCCAGAGATCAGCAAACTTTATCCACAAAGGGCCAGATAGTACATATTTTCGACTTTACAAGCCATATGGCCTGATCTCTCTGTCATAAATACCCAACTCTTGCCCTGGTAGAGCAAAAGCACCCAGAGACAACATGTAAATAAATGAACATGGCAAAGTTCTATAAAACTTTATTTCTTAAGAGCAGTAGCTGAACAACAGACTTAATATGGTGGATTTGATTTGACAATTTGGCAGTGCTGGCTTAGGTCCATTTGGGACTGGGAACTTTTCTTTGATGAATAGAACATTTTTTCTTCATAACAGGATCAATACACCAAATCCTGAAAAACTATTATGGGCTATGCTGTTATCATTATCAGCCTGTATCATACTATTCTGATGGGATGTACGATGTTTAACTGTTTACATAGTTTTCCACTCAACCTCTCCAAAAAGTTTTGAAAGTATGCATTTATAATGTGTGTATGTGTACACTTCTCAAAACATCAGAACCTAATCACCACTATGTGTCTTACTTAGGAATAATAGACACCATTAACACTTCTTGCATTTTTTTTTTAAAAACTGATCTCACCACTCATTTAAGTCATCTTTTACCTTACAACTACTTTTATTTTTGTTACTAAGAATTGTGGATTTCAACTGGGAAACCAATCCATATAACTATTACTATCTTTTTATTATTATTTTACCTTCAACTCCACGAAACTATCACAATTCTCCGATAACGTTATTACTTTAGTTCCCATTTCTATTATGTTCTCTTCTAATTCTATTTATAAATAATATACTAACATGTTTTGAGCCAAAATTCCAATAGTTAAGTAAAAATGATAAGATCAATAATCGGTATTATTTTAGTAATTATGCAAGTTTCCCATAATTTTGTTTACTAATTCAGAGTTTGATCTAGCAATTATTTCCTTGCAACAATGAACAGAATATACATAAGAAATGTATCATGAATTATGTGATGTATCATTTGGCATACAATAAAGATACTGATGCTCAAAGTTACACTGTTAGTGAAATATACTTTGCGGGGGGGGGGGGGGGGGGGGGGGAGAGC